CGTTTTTCTTTCCTGAGTATCGGTCTCTCTTTTAGGTCATTTTACTTACCATAGCAACAAATGGAGTTATCATACAGCCGATCCTTGCCGCACCTGAGCATGCGCCCAACCCGATGCCGCGCATGCTCGTCGATGCCGCGCATGCTCGTTTTTCTTTCCTGAGTATCGGTCTCTCTTTTAGGTCATTTTACTTACCATAGCAACAAATGGAGTTATCATACAGCCGATCCTCGCCGCACCTGAGCATGCGCCCAACCCGATGCCGCGCATACTCGTGGGATACACCTCCGGTGTGTATACATAACCGCACATGTCAGCAATGCTGATAAACATACGGGAGGCATACAAAAACAGCGTGGTCGATGACCGACTGCCAATGAAAACAATGACATCAGTTATTTTCTTACTCTTTCGAGGAAAAATTTTATTTCAGGAACATTGGTTTATGAAGTAAACGAGTCCCTAAGAGCACTTCAATTGGTCGATAGGCGTGCTTACATGAGAATATGCAAGCACAGTTGTGACTTTTAAGGGGATAAGGTTCTAAAAAAAAGGCCTGATGCTAATTTAGGTAATAAAGATAATTCGGTTTTATCAACTGAGTTGATTATGTAAATTAGCTGCTGTAAAGAGCTTTTAAAGCTGACATTTCGAGTGTAGGTACTATCTACGGAAGCGTATTTGTGTACGATCCTCGCAGTAAAGAGCACTATTTAAGCAATAGTGAAAATCAGGCCTGAAAAAAAAAAAAATTAAAAATTAAGGCCTGTACGGGGATTCGAACCACTGACCTCTGCGATACTAGTGCAGCACTCTACCTCTTTACTGCCAGGATCGTGCGCAAATACATTTCTATAATCGCAGTTCAGATATCTGAATTTCATTTATTCGTTGTGTTTGATTTATCATCTTACGGGGTTTTCTATTCGGGAAGATTGTCATCGCTCACGTAAGCTTGTACGCACGACTGAGGGTCTAAATGGGGTTAAACCGATAACCTTGAGACGGCTGGAAAATTTGGCCGTTAAGCGTTATAATTAACAAAATTTAATTGTTAGTCGAAGAGAAATTTGACCATAAAAATATTTCTGGTGACAACAAAATTTTAACTGTTAGCCGTAAAATTTATCACCTCATGGAGGCCCTCAGGACTCCGCTCAGTCTTAGCAATACTCAATCCCAATGTGTGGTTTCGTAGTAGTTGGTAGAAGCGACTAGGTCTAGCCACAAGCTGCCGATGAATCCCATAAAATTTGCCGATAAAAGTGTCTAAAAGTTGCCAAAAAGTTGCTATTTTTTAAAAAAGTAGCCGAAAAGTTGCTGAATTTCCAAAAAGTTGCCGAAAAGTTGCCAAAATTTTTCTGCTTTTCGTACCTTTTTTGGGTGTTAAAGATTAAAAATTCGCACATTGCTTCTTATCAAAACTTTATTTGTCAATATCCAATGATAATATCAGAGGTTCTTTCCATTTCACTTGATCAACAAATAGTCACTGTAATTGTCCGCCATCTTGAAAAACGTGCAAGGTGATAACGCTGACCTCGAGATAAGGCATCACAAAAATCAACCCATGGGGGCGGGGGCCCTAATTATAGTATTTTAGAATAAATTGAATAAATGTCTTTCGAAAACTGACCAATGGGGCTCAAAACGTGAACAAAGTGGCTTCAAAGAACCTCAAAAAGCCCAAAGTTGCCGAAAATTCTAAAAGTTGCCAAAATTCAAAAAAGTTGCCGAGCAACTTGTGGCTAAGCCTAGAAGCGACTAACAAGTGCCGAGCCCCGTCGAAGCTTGATTTTTTTATATTCAAATTTTACTATTGCGTTTCTGCTGCGAGGATCAGTTCGTTAGTATTCTCATCCACATGGTCAAAATATGATAAGTTTCATTTCATTTCAAGTATTTGTGATTACTGTTCTCATCACCTACCTTCTTGTGCAAATGAACAAGGCTGCTAGAAAGATTGCACTTCCCAAGAAAGCCACGAATTGAACCATTTTCCTACCTATTTTGTCCACCATGAAAAATATAAACACTAATCCTGTAAAATGTGAATAAGAAAAGTCGCGATATCAGAAAGTGATTCATCGCTGTAAAAGACGTCTTCGATTGGCCTAGATTTTAAAGACAATGTTCTAATCTTTTAGAAGGGGAACAGATAGTTTCTGTAACGGAAGTGTGTTTTTGTGAAAGATGAATCTCGAGCTGATTTCTATCAACTATGATGTGATCTTATAGATAAGAGCGGAAAAAAAAAACTACTCTAAGCTGTGAGCGAATGCTTGACGGAAAATAATAGGATTGTTAAAGCTCTGTTCTGATTGGGTCTTAAAATTCCGAAAGTCCACTGGGAGCCGTCCACGGGTAAAAACTTTTCGACTTAGGCAGAATCGGTTTCAATCCCCTCTCTGTCACAAATGTCCTCTTGTCGTTACTATGAGGGTGGTGCAGGTGTGTGTGTGTGTGTGTGTGTGTGTGTGTGTGGGGGGGGGATCATGATCTGCAGTGCATGCTACTTACCTAAGAGATCACCGGACATTACAATGAAGTAATTGCCGTAGTCCTCATAATCTAACTGTTTGCAGTGAGAAGTATCAGAGGGAGCTTCCTCTGCAGTATGAACCCCTTCTGTATTGATACCTGCCAATATATAAGTACTTCAATATCAACTGACACGCGCGTTATAAGCGGAAAACTTTTATTAGGCTCAGAGCCAACTTAGAAGTTGGCTCTGAGCCCTAATTTGAGTCGTACAACAGCAAGAAACTGGACGAGGTGAGGTGTTTCACGATTTCTTTGGTATTAAGTAGGAGATCGTAACACTCACATTCCACGGTATTTCATTTGTTTTCACAGTTTTGCAATACGCTGTTTCTATCACCTATACAGGTCGATAGTTGAGTATTACAAACTCTAACGAATTAACTATAACCTTTGTTAGAAATTTTTCTTGACGAAATTACATTTTATAAGTAGCCAACGTTTTTGATAGGAGATAAAAATGAAGAGGCGATGTGTTATAGAAACATACTGACCTCTGCACAGGTCTACTCTTGAGAACATTTCTGTCGTTATAAGCGCTATTCCGTATATCACAAAATGACTACTAAACCTAAAAAGGGGGAAAATATTAAACACGCTTAGAGAATATTAAGACTTGACAGAACATCACCTTTCTTTTTAACAGGAAAATTGAAAGTCTGGCCGGCTCTTTCTCTCGAGAAAGAAAAAGATAAACGATCTAAAACTGTGGATTTTTTAAACCTGAAAATTTGGCCAATTATAAAGTGGAAAAGTCTCACCAAATAATCCATAATAAAATAGTAGATCTTCGGAATTCAGGAGAAAATAGATCTGTTATCCTTCCCCGCGCAACCTGAAAGGAAAACGAAACATTTCATGCAGCAGCATGTGTCTTTCAGAGTCCCTCTCTCTAAAAGTTATATTGCAGGTTATGCCCATTTCAAGAAGCAAAACTAAATATGCCAAGGAATATAAAAGATTCCCCTGACCATCCGTATTTTAAACCAGTTTCTTGCGCTATCGTAAGTTTAAATGTATAAAAACTTGGCGCTATCTACTATTACTAAAAAAATAACACATTTCTTAAAAAATATTTGCCACATTTGTGAGCTGGAGTGCAGAAACTTGCTATTTTTTAAAAGCAATTTAACTGATCTATATATGGCGAAGAGTTGTAAATTTCATATTAGCCGTTCTACAAAGCCAGGTGAAATCAAAGAAATATTAGTGACTGAAAGAAGTACCTCCTGTTGTTCGGTAGCGACTAATTCTCCCGGAGGCACCTCCTTATTTTTTTCTTTGGCAATCTTTTGCAGAATTCACAAAGCTTTCTCTGGCTTGCCTGCAGCCATATAAAATCGAGGAGATTCTGGGACGAGCTACAGCAGAAAATCAATTAAAATAGCTTGTGTCATATATACTGAGATTTAAACTGTAAAGCACTATCGCTCGTGTCTCTGATTGGACGAACGATGTATTTTTATTCACTCGTTACGATGCATTAAAAAACTCACTCGTTCGCTGTACTCACTTGTTCAGTTTTTTTGATGCATCGCAACGAGTGAATAAAAATCGATCCGGCGCAGTTTCCATGAAATAATCTCTATTTAATAGTGGGTTTTCAGAAATCGGAGAGGAATTATGATGGTGTGTTTGGATGCCTAAGATGATACACCAATCACGACAACGGTTCTCAGAGAAAAATTCCCTTGTGACATCATATTGACTATAGAGTAATTAAATATTGCATCCAGCTTTTTTTTTAATTTTGATTTCCTCTATTAAAGCTTTCTATCGACGAATGACCAAACAGGTCTTTGTTCTCAAACTGATTCCAAGGAAGGATAGATTCTGTGACAATTGGTTCAAATGACCTCGCCAGAAGATCTCTACTTAGTTAAATTGAGCCAAGCGTAATTTAGAGCCCAGAAGAAATTGCTTATACTTCTTGCTTCAAGACGAACATTCTCTAACGTTTAATGGGATCTATTCTCTCCAGAGTTTTGAGGGATTTGACTCGGAGATATTCCTAGGTCTGTGAAGATCTGCCGCGATGGTCGTCGTAAAACTTTGCTTTCTTACCTTGCAACAACATATAAAAAGAAGCAGAGGTATGCAAGAGATAAAGAACAGCCATCTCCACCCTAGGGTGGGCATGACCACCAGTGCAACGAGAATTTCCAAACAGGATCCAAGGGACCATGATAACTACAAAGGGAAGAGGAGATTAGGATCGAAAACCAAACAATCGATCGATCTTTGATGCCAAACAGTTTCTTTAGAAACTATCAGCCTTTATTGCTTGTAAAATTGCTTAACTGCTGAGGAGAAAGTTGAGGTGTGGGATTCCCCATGTCCATCAGAAGTTCTCATAGGAATAAAGGTTTTAGTGTGGTCGGTCATCCTCACATTGGGTTCTACTGAGATAACTGATCGTATGTAATCAACAAAAATGACGCAGCTATCATATGAGACATGATATTGTTAATTGATACAGCAACTGATAGTGTCACCGAAAATTAAAGTAAAGAGTTATTCTTTGAAGAATGCATTTATAATCACTAAAATCAGATATGATGAATTTATGAAGTTCATATATTTTGAACTGCGGTTATAGAGATACGTATGATGCACGATCCTCGCAGTAGAGAGCGCTATTTATGCAATTTTTTTTTTCAGGTCTGATTTTCGCTATTGCATAAATAGCGCTCTCTACTGCGAGGATCGTGCATCACACCAATCACTAAAATGTCCCCCGAGTGCAGAGATCTCGTCAACGAAAGGGGTAAAGAGAGAGCATGGGGATTGATGGTTAGGCTACAAGTTTAGGATATGAGGCAGTTGCGTTGTCTTACCATTGTGCCACGCCCCCCATACCCAGTCCCACCACGGTACTGAACGCCATGATCCAAAAGTAGTTTGGCGCAAATGTACTCAGTAGTCCGCCGGAGAAAACGACGATAGTACAAGCCAGGACTTCCTATGTAGATCGTAAACAAACACAAAACTAATAAGGGAAGCGGAGTTTTGTCTCTAAGAGTTTCAAATTCCAGCAACTAACCGTATTTCTACCCCCCTCCCCCTCCCCTCTGGATTAATCACCGGTCCGTTGTAAAGTATCCTGCCCACCCTCCTCAAAATCCAGTGTCCAGCTCAAGGTGAGCATTATAGTCCCAATGAATTCATATTAACTTTAGGAAGCAAGTTACCTTCTTTCGTCCAAAGTTATCCGAGACGTAGCCCCATAAACAGGTGCTTACTGTCATCCCAGAAAAAACGGCCTAAGAGACAAAGTGTGTGAGATGGCATGAGAAACACATATGATGATAAAACTCGTCACACATAAATAAAGGCTGATAGTTTCGAAAGAAACTGTTTGGGGCTGCGTCGGTGGGGGTAACGAAATAATTTGGATATATCAACAAAGTTGAAATGGTAAATTGGCCACCGTAACGATTACAAAAGCTGACGTTTCGAGCGTTAGCCCTTCGTCGGAGCGAAGGGCTAACACTCGAAACGTCGTAAACGCTCCGACGAAGGGCTAACGCTCGAAACGTCAGCTTTTGTAATCGTTACGTTGGCCAATTTACCATTTCAACTTTGTTGATATATCCAAATTACACATAAATAAAGCATAGTAAAGGGTCAGATAAGCCTAATACCACCAATAGTTCGAGTTCCAATGCAGTTACCGATGCACGTTTTCCATTTGTGGTCCAGAAAAGTTTGTGATTGTGAAGTCTTTTCCTCCGCATATCAATCCTCGAAAAAATTTGTCTCTTGAGGAAATTTTCATCAAGATTGAGTTTTTTTTTCTTAAACGGATATGAGGCGTTTTTCTAGAGATGTCACATCGTAAGAAAATAAGCTAGAACGTGAACATAGACTGCTTCGTAAAAAAATCGACATTTTGGCAGTTTTGAGGCGGAAAACTAACGTTAATTTTATTTGCTGAAGTTATACCGTAGTAATAGTGGCTTCTTGCCAAGTGGCCAAATTCCAGTCACATCTGATGGCGGGACACACAATCGCCAGGATTGTCACTTCCATAGAGTCTGCCATCTAGAAAGAACACAGGAATGTTTCGACATTTAATTTTAAACCCCAATTTTTATTTGTTATTTATAACCTGTTTGTTTTTCCCGTGACAGACGTTCCTAATTTTCACCTTAAAAAATTAACTACCAAATGCTCTCTTATTTGTTATCAGTAACGAATTTTACCGAGCAAGAACAGGGGGCTTCTATAAATGTTTTTGTTTATGGCCTGACTCTTTAGGCTTGATGGCTATATGACTCTGTGTTTTAACGATATCGCAATTAACACGTAGAACATATTCGATTAATTCTGAAAAATTTGTTTGAAAGCCATCGAAACTGTCAGCTGTGATTTACAAAAAATAAATGACTGTTATGCTATGCTATGATGAAAAGAAAGTGTTTATCATTCCTTCTGTCTGACTTAAAATAATTGTAGAAATCGTGTTTACTACTGTTGAACAGGAAATTCTGAACTTTATTAAGAATTACGTCAGACACGAGGACTCAGAGCCAGGTAGGCGATAGTTTATTAGCCAGCTGAAAAGGTGTCGTATTTCTCAACACATTGTCAAAAAAAGTCATGTGAAGGTAGTTTCACTCTTACCCAGGCCAATCCAATAACAAACATAAGTTTTACTTGAAAAGGTCCATAACCGAGCTTGTCAATCGCCTCTTCCACAGTGTAGGTGGATTTACCTTCTAGGTAAAGTTGCAACAAAAAGGAAAATAAAAAAATAGCAGAAATGTTAAAAAAAAAAGAAAAAAAAAAGAAATAATATTGAGGAACTCAAAAAGAAAATGAAATCTTGCACTTATAAATGCTGAGACAATATCTAGGGTTCTAAGAAAAGAATACAGTGCGTATTTTTTTTTCTTGCAACTTTTCGTTACTGATGTCATTCAATCACTTTTTGGGTACGCACTGTGGTGGAGGCTGCGTATCAGCATAAAGCATTCGCGAGGGTTCGAATCAGATAAGATGCTTTGTAAACTGTTCTGCTCAAGTATCAATCAATCAAAAAATCAATTAATCAATGAGGACTAGCTTGCTTGCACACCATAAATCGAGCACGTCATTCGTCATAGTTCTTGCGCGAAGCCTCGTAGCTCCTCAAGGATGAATCCAGTGCAGTGGGGGATCTAGAGGAGATGGTCTAAGAGTGAGAGAGGGGTGGGAGGGTCTGTGGGAATCGCCTGGGAGGTGAGAAGTGTGAAAACCCTGTGACTCAAAGATACTGCATCTAGTGGCCTGATAAAATTGCTCTCTGTAATGGATATAAGGGACATGAAATAACAATACCTTAACACGGGTGGGTAATTATCCCATCAAGCCTTCTTGTATCTTATTCGTGGAGACTCACGTGGAACGCGTTCAATCGAGATGAAAACCACGAAATACGTGTACTGGTGTTTAAGCGATGTAAGGTACATTCTGAGCCATTGTTTCACTTACCCTGTTTAGAATCCTCGGATAAATCCACCGCTGGATCACTGTTTTCGGCTGTGAGAGCTAATTTCTCTTCTTCAGTTTCCATGAAAAAAAAAAAACGATTTAATTTGATTGTCACAATTCCACAACCTGTCCAACCTGCATCACGATTTCAAACGTTTGGAAATCGTCGGGAGTAAAATATGTTTTAAAATTGCAATAAAGGAAGTCCCTTTTTTCAGTTTTTTTTTTTTTTCGATGTTGGTAGTAATCAGGTCTCAAGGCCAAGTTTTACGATTCCAAGATGATCATTTTCCGGCAAAGCCGAGTCAACTTTGTAAAGCGGGTACCAGCCTGTCTAGAGCTATGCATAATTGACAATAATTGTATCTCAGCTTAAAACAATAATTCCCTTAAAATGGAAACACACTGTTCTCATTCAAATCAACATCGATCACTGATTCCTCATTTGGTAGACTTGTGTCAATCAGCGATCGAAAAGAAAGTTAAGGGCGACAATTGTAAAATCAAAATTTTAGTAGCGATAAGGTCTTTGTGAAAGCATTCTTAACCTCACAAAGCATTCCTCAGATAAAATAATGAAATTTGATCTTGTTTCTTGCTTACCCGTGGGAATTTGCGCCGTCGGGCTTAACTTTTACCAGGTTGAACGAGAAGTACTGTTGATGTTAAGATGGACTGGGATCGATTTGGTGTTCCATCAATAAACATTACAGATATGACCAGCGCACCAAATGTTTTCACTCCAGCTGAGTCAGTAACAATACACACGTAGTTTGTCGATTCTTTTCAATTTATTCCTTTACGATGCATGAGTATCGCGAGAAAACAAAAAAAAACAACCATATTTAAACCCTTTACATTTTAACATCAACACCCACAAGGCTCCACACTAACTTTTCAACTAACTAGCCAAGTGGCTAGTGACAACTTAGATGTTACAACAAATCAGTTTGTTTTCTAGCCAAACTGGCTAGTGGAAAGCGAAAACCACCAGCCAAAACTTAATTTCTACTAGTCTGTGGCTAGTTGGCTACCGTTAGTGTCGATCCCTGACCCGTATTCTACATACTCTTCTCTTTACATTTCCTCATAATTCTCATAATCTTTATGAGAGATACAGCAGTATTACTGTAAGGAGGAATTAGATGCTGCTCTCTCTTAGAGTTTAAAGGGTTCATCCTTTTTGGAGCTACTATGTTCATTACGACAACAGCAAACTACAACAACAACAGTCGGAGACTGGGCCGGAACTTTAGTGTCAGAGACTGGGCCCGAGCTTTAGTTGAGTTTGATTGACATTGCACATGAGTGCAGTCATGCATGTCGCTTAAGTGTTATTTTAGAAAAGAGGCGTGAGGAAATAAAGCGAAACGGCTGTGTTTGATGAAAGAAAACTAAACTACCACTGCCACGGAGGCATTCCCGAAACATCAACATTTACAACAACAAAAACTATACTGAAAGTTCAAGGGTAACGATTTTTTTTTTATTGTGAAAAGCGATACAGACAATTTCAACTGACCCTTTCAACTGTGTCGCCTGTGCTGATATAAACTTTCAGGCTAACAATTTAAAAGAAAGATATATCTCTTTAATATTCCTATCTAGCCCAATGTAATTTCCACAAAGACGAGATTTCCCCGGCAGATTTCAAATTCATCTATCGCATATCCTTGTTTTACTTCAATTATTACTATGTAACCTGTCCACGTACGATCAATAACAGTCCAAGCCAATATACCCCTTAAGAAGCGAATTACTTTTGCAAATTCATTTCCTTCAAATTCAGTCCTAATAAGTCATTACTACCTAATAATGTTGACCCTTTGACGAGAAGAGGTCGTGTCTTTAAACATGGAAAAGGAAACATCTTTGTATGCTCCTCTGATTATGTTAGACCCAATGTCCAGCGCGCCAACTATTACAGCAGCGCATCTCCCAGCGTAACCATAAAAATTTCTTTAATTCTTTCAAATTTAGAAGCAAATTTGCTCACCTGAACAACACCATGTTAATTTAATTCTTGTAAGATCCTCAAAATAATGTTCCAGCGCAGATTTAAATAACCAATGATTTGAAATTTCAGCCACTATTTGGAATAATGATCTAAAGTCACTGCTCAGTCTCTTCCAACATTGTGCGTTGTCAGCGGTCGATCTATTCTGACAATCTTTTCAGCGAAATTAAAGAACCCAGTGTATTGCACGTCATCTGGTGTGACGTCATAGTGGTAATGCCCTCCCTCTCCATGATCACTGAAGCAGTGAAAGTGTTCAATGCGCAAGTCCAGACCCTGAACACAAACAAAATGGCGAGATTATGACAAAGAAAACTTTTAAGATCTTTCCGTCAGTAATCAGGGCAAGTATGAAAATGGCAAGTTCGCTCCCGAAAAGAATAGTGTTGTTTGTTCACACTAGCGTTTTGGTAACTTTCGTCCACGTTAATCCAAGTAAGATAAAAAAAAAGGAAACTTTTGACACAGTTCAAGTATCTTGAAGACTCTAACCTGAATTTTTCAGGTTGGTAATTTTTAATCCGTTTGAGAAACATTTTGCAGTGTCCTTCACAAAGATAGAAGATTAAGGACGTTTAGCATAGCGCAAAAACAAAAATAAAGAAATAAAATCACTCAAAATGTCATAACGTTTGATCTTTAAAGGTATCTAAGATCTAATGCCAAATACTGCAATACACACGGAATAAAGTATTTTAAGAATGCGTAAATTACTTAGCAACATTTCTCTATATAAAGGCTACAAATTAAGAAAAAAACACTCACAGGATCGTAGCTTTCTAAGACTCCCACGCACACTAATGGAGCACTCATTTCATAAAACTTGAGCCAGTTGTTCACATCAGCGTCTGTGTTAAGTGGAGTTTTTGAAAATCTAGGCTTTTCACACACAGAAAAATAAATTGAAATTAGTTATCAAATTTTTCAATAAAACGACGCAAGAAGTTTTTTCAAGACTGAAATGGAATCTGCACTCCTATTTTGTTAACGTTTCCTCATTGGTTGTTTATCCTAGGGGTCCATTCATTTTAAAAGATGACCCCAATAATTCCCCTTTATCTTGTCATCAAACAAGTATTCGAGAGTACTTACTACTTACCTCGCACGGTCACCCCGAGTTCCTTTGCCGCCAAGCGAAGTTCCGTCGCCCAAAAGTATGGTTGTGTCACCCACAACTTTTTACCTGAGTTTAATTAACGCGATACAAACACACATCGGGGCGACGGAACTTCACTTGGAGGCGACAGAACTTGAGGCGAGCGTGCGAGCGGGGGGCCGGCACCTATAACCACTAGGTTCACGCTTTCGACCATCATTTCTTTTAAGCTCGCGGAATAAACCTCTTTTTTTAACATCATAAAGAGAGGATTATGCCTCAGGTCGAAAATAGAGGAAAAAGAAAATTGGTCACCATTCTCGTTTTCCAAGAAAATGAGAACTCCTTTCAAAGGGAAAAAGACGCCGGTACATTTAAAAAAGCGCGAGTAATCACTCGTAAATTTAAGCACATTACGACTTTTTCTTTTTCGCTCTGTGTGGACTGCATTTGATTTTGACTTCAAATACGCGCAATGTTTCAATCCCATTCTCATGGCCTGAACCTACATGTCTTTGACTTGAGAGAAGCAATATTTCAAATCACTGATTTTGAGCTATCTCCATTTCACGTTCAGTAAAAGTCAAATATCGTTAAAGCTGTACCATAACATGAATCTTGGCCTTTCCCTTCTCTATCACAAAAACTCCACCCATTCCGACCGGTTGGTCTCCATAGCGACCAGCTAGGGTGTTCCGCATGCACGAGACAAAATTCTCAACCCCAGTCCTTTTGCTGACACAAATTTTCAGAACCTACAACAAACACGCAAACAGAAAAAGCTCTAATCAATTAAAGCATTGAAATACAACGTCGCCATAACCCAAAATGCATTTCATTTGTAATTAGGTTTTTTTAGAGAAAGTTTGAATAAAAAGGCACAAACTTTTCAAACCTTTCCTGGTTTTCCTTCACTGACAAGGAAATTACCCAACAGATTGAACTCTCCACAGTTGTAATCTTCCAAGACAAAGGATCCATTCTGCAACAAAAGCAATTTAAACATCACATATTGTTAACACAAAAAATTGCTCTGGGGGTGCAGACTGCTTGAGGATCACCTCTTAGCATCCACTTTTTAGAAGGGAATTGGAATTTTTCACTTAAAATACACAGATTACACGCTTGTCACACCCACGGTAATAATAGAAACCTACCTCTTCATTTACTTTAGCAATTTTTGTTGCAATAATTCCCTTCTGTTCTGAGTTGGTGACCAAGTTTGCCATCATCTGGAAGACATATTTATTAATTACCGGTACAAGCAGTGAGCAGAACTATTGAGTTGGACAAGCAAAAGGCCGAAGCAAAACAGAAGGAAAAGGCTGAATCTTCTCAACCTCTAAACCTTGTGCTTAGTTAACCTTTGAGTTGTACCTCACAATTCACTCCAACAAAGTCACTGCTTCCTGCCCCGGCACCAATTACAAACCCTCCTGGAAGATCTGAATTTTTTGCTACATCATCAAAACTGTATAACTAAAAGCAGATAAATATGATTTATTTAGCACATGTATACTGTTTGTGATCAGATATCTTTTGAGGCAACAAAAAACCAAATAATTCAAATCGGTGCTTCTTTGAATGATTAATGGATATTTAAATTTCAATTAACTCTCTCTAAGGGTTAAAAACCACAACAGGCAAAATAACTGCAACAACAACATCTGGGGTAAACAGGGAAGGGTTCCTGAATAGACCCTTCCATTTATTACATTGCCCGACATGGTAAACGATGTACAAAGTAACAACAAACAATAGGGAGGGGAGGGAGGGGAATGAAGCTAGCCTTGTGTTATAAAAGCACATGTCAGAAGGGCTGTGTACAGTGCATGTCTGCAAACTTGCCCCAGGTCTCACTGGAGTTAAATACAAATAATAGCTATTATTAAAAAGTGGATCATTGGATAATGCAATTCAAGACTTTTTATTGGCTTAGCCATTATGGTATACGAGTAAATATACCATAATCTAATATCTGTACATTGTACCATCCAGTTTCTTCTTACAAAATAAAGTCGAGTAAATTTGTCTAATATCTTGGGGGTGTTTCTTTTAATAAAATAATTATTCCACGAGCGCTTGTTGGATATGAGATGATAGATAGCCAATGAGGTGCTATGCGCCTCGTTGGCTATCTATCATCTCATATCCAACGTGCGCTCGTGGAATAATTGTTAATTATTTTTTACTATAACTGGTGGACAGTTTACCTTGGAAAGGTTTGGAAGAGGTATGAGATATGGCACTCCCCCAACATCAGCAATTCTGGCCCTACCACAAATACCTCAATATAAAAAGTAATGTTTGCCATTGTAAAGTATTACTAACAAGCCTTTCAGTAAGTCAATAAGTTTTAAAAAGCTTTTAATAGTCATTCAATCAATATTGTTTTGCATGGCAATTCAATTACACACCGTACCAGGAGCTGCCAGTGTCCATGGTTTCTCTCTCAAATCTGGACAATCAACTACTTCAACTTCAACATTTGAAAAATTCTGGGACAAACCATGCTTGAGAACTTGAAAAAAAAGTACTGGATGTTAACAGAGGAAGATGAATTTCATAGAACTGACTTATAATAAACAGTTTTTCAAGATAAAAATGATTCATCTTTATTTGGGGTATAATTAGGTACTTGATAGGTTGACTGCAATGTAGCCTATGTGTTACTAAACTCAATTATGAGTCTGACTACTTATACTGATGACAAACACCTACAGAAGTAAATGTAACTATTCTATGGCATGGAGTGTTGACATGATACCAAGAGTGAGATTTATCCATTGGTATGAAATATTCTCCTCAGGATGCTTTACATGAATCATCTTCATGAATCAGAAAGAGTTTTTCCTTGCCTGAATCACCTTTATTATTCACTCTCTACCGGGGTGAATGATGTGTAACTTCTCGCTATGATAATGTGAAGGTGGTAACGAGTTAGGAATATTGCTTGATCAAAAACCAAGTTCTCAAAGCTAAAATTGTATTAAGTGTATGTCAGGCAGAGAGGAGAATTTATTTTATGATCCTTGGAATGGAACAGTTATTAGACCATTGGAGCAATCAATCAACTTTATTAATGTGTCAAACTCTTCCACAAGTGGCCTACTAATCGGGGACACCTAGGAGCCTAGTTTAAAGGCAACTTATTTTAATCTCTAATTCACGATGAAGGTCAATGCATGAACATGGAAAACGCGGGACTCTTTAACAGCATTACTTGGATTAAACCCTTTAAGAAAGGGCAATTTTTTTAAGGGTTGCTGGTCGCTTGAATAAATAAACTGAGCCAAGTAACAGGTCGTATTTTAACGACCTGTCCTCGTGGTAAAAATACTCCGATCATATGAATATCACAACAATCATACCTTGAACCAACTCTTCTAGCGGTGGTTGGAGAAGATCTCTGCTTTCTACAGGGAGATTTAAAGCCATTGGCGAAATATATATTTATAATCGAGAAAAATCCGTTCGATTAACTGTGCTAACACGTTTGTCACAGGATTGCAGATCCACTGGGATATCTGATAACTGTCAGGCGTTCCCGATTGACTAGTACCCATTCTACTTTGAGATTTGCCGCTTAGACGTAAAATTCTTAGATTTCGCGTGGGTGGCAGCTCGGAACTTAAATCGAGTTTTTGCGAAAAATGACAACGTTAGGCAAATTTTCAAGATTAGCAGCAGTTGCCTCTGCAGTGGTAACTTTTTCAGGTGCTTATATCTTCTTTAACGGGACCAGAAATCCCGCACGTGCAAGTGGAGGGGGAACGCAATATAACTCTTCTGAGGAATTCGAACACCGCCTTCTTTACAAACCGACGGGTTTGCGATGGGATTCCAACTGGGACAGGTGCGAGAAAGGCACAACGAAGCCTAAGAGGAGAGATGATGGAAGAGTCGACGAGGAATCGAGAGAAATCAAGCCCACTGCTGTGCGCCATCTTGTCTTTATAAGGCACGGGCAATATTACGAGGACGCTAAGAACAGTGATGATAAAAGGCTGACGGAGCTGGGAAGGTAGGAGAGAGATAGTAATGGTTATGTTGTTTTGTGAAAACTATTAGGTAAAAATTGGAAATTGAGCCAATGAGCCAAAAAATACGGATATTGACAACTGGTCTGCGGTTATCTTGACCCTCCTTTCATTAAAATACCACTGGGAATTATTTGTTTTCTTGCGCTGCTGTGGAATTCACGACTTCACCCTTTTAATACACTTATTCAATGAGATGTAAATGAGTGGCAGGGTATTCTGCAGTTACTCCTACACCTAACATCAGTATGCATATTCTCCACACTGTTCTATACACATTGCTACGTACTGAAAAAGAGAATTTGTTTAACAATGTAGAGTTTCTTTATTTGGTAATCATTTTCCTTTTTTCTACTGACCTTAATGATTGATTCAGAGGTGGTATTGTAAGGAGAAATTAGATGCTGGTCACTGATGTTGTGATGCAAAGGGTTATTTCCACTGTTTTCTGTAAGTAGCGAGGCCTGAAAACTAGGGACCATTTGTTGGAGTGAAAGACACACCAAGCATCTTTTCAGTATGCCTCTAATTTGCAAGTTGTGAGCATTTTATGAGGAACGTAGTAATCTTTCAGCTGGACTTTTAATCATTAGAAAATGAAGTAGATGCCTTTTTATTTTGAAGGTTAATTGATTAATTTGTAATTTTTTCAGACAGCAAGCAGAAACTACTGGCCAACGACTTAAAAACTTGAATTGGAAATACACCAAACTGGTCTGCTCTACCTTAATAAGAGCTGTTGAGACAGCTGATATCATTGCTAAACATCTGCCAGAGGTACCAAGAGAGTCATGTGACTTTTTACAAGAGGGAGCACCAGCTCCCCCGGACCCTCCGTCAAGACACTGGAGACCAGACAAAACGGTCAGTGCCTTAGGGATACAGGAATACTTTAGACAGCTATGGTATTTACCTTTTTGAATAGCAGTTATTTTTTCAAAATGGCCCTGTACTGAGTATAAAACAATGTCAATAAGAGTGCTAGTGAGTGATAAAGAACTTTAGTGCCTGAAATTATAACTAGGATTTAAGTTGTGTTTAGCGAATTTCCATTTTGAACAACAGTTTTTCCTAGATGGTTTTTTACTGAGTATAAAACAATTTAAATAAGAGTTCTGTTACTTGATAAAGAACTGCAATGCCTGAATTTATAACCAGGATTTCAGTTTTTTTTTATGGAATTTCCATTTTTGAACTGCAATTTTTCCTAGATACTCTTTACTGAGTATAGAGCAATTTTGATAAGATTTTTATTGATTGATAAAGAACTGCAGTGCCTGAATTTATAACCAGGATTTAAGATTTCTTTTTTACTGTTTTTCTATTTTTGAACAGCATTTTTTTTGAGATGGCCCTGTACTGAGTATGAAAGAATGTCGGTAAGAGTTCTATTAAATGATGAGGAACTCTAGTGCCTGAATTTATGACCAGGATTTAATTTATTTCCACGATTTTTCCAGCAGTTTTTCCAAGATGGCCCTCGCATTGAGGCTGCCTTCAGAAAACACATCCACAGGGCAGATGCGGATCAAGTTGGAGACAGTGTTGAAATTTATGTGTGCCATGGAAATGTGATCAGATACTTTGTTTGCAGGTAAAGTGACACACATTAAAACAAAACTGTTTAATCTACAATGCCAAGGAGATACTTGTAGCAGGTAGTCAAACAGTGTCCTTGATTTTAATAATACCATTAATTAAATAGAGAGTAATGGAGAGAAATCAGGGCTTGACACTAAGCCACGGACTAGTAGAGATTCAGTTTTGGCTAGTGGTTCTCAATTTCCACTAGCCAGTTTGGCTAGTAAACAAACTGAAATTGTTGTAACATCTAAGATATCACTAGCCACTTGGCTAGTAAGTTGAAAAGTTGATGTCGAGCCCTGGAATGGAGGTGTATTAGCCAATTGGCCCATCTGGTCATTGCTTACCTCTGGTTTCTGTAGTATGAAGCAACTAGGAGTATTTCAACTCCCCCCAAAATGAAATGTGAGTCCATGGCAGGTTTAACCCCTGGCATTAAACTCTCTTGTACCCATTAGAACTCCTGGGTGAAGAGAGGCACTGTGAGAACAAAGTGTCTTACCTAAGAACTCAACGCAATGTCCCCTGCTAGGACTGGAACCTGGACCACTCGATCTGTAGTTGAGCGCCATGAGGCCGCCCCTCCTCTCAAAGAGAAATGAACCAATGACTTATAATTAGAACTTACCATTTTTTTTTTTTTTTTTTTTTTTTTTCATAAGGGTTCTTCAGTTTCCACCAGAGGGTTGGCTTCGCATGAGCATAGGACACTGTGGAATAACTTGGGTGACTATAAGGCCTAATGGAAGGGTGAGCGTCAAAAGTATGGGTGACACAGGACACTTACCTCCTGAGCAGTTGTCATCATAGACACAGGACACTTAGGAGAGATACCTTTTCTTGAGGACTGTGCCACAGATCAGTCCTTAAAACAGTAACTAGGTGTGGTATTATTAAATAGGAGTTTAAAATTATAGGAATGATAAGGGCTCTAAGTTCAACTTTTTTTTCAAAGTCACTGTGTTCTTAAAATGGCTGTATTTCCTTAGACAAAAGAGATGTCATGGCTTTTGTTCAAAAGAAATTCACCATTCAAATGAAAATTCTTTATCTTACAATGAACTAGTTTGTTCAGAAGAATTTATGCACATCCTTTGTGATATTTATTTTTTTACTTTATTTAGAACAAGTTCTTATGTCAGTGCGATTATTTTTCACTTTTGTCTTCTTCATATTTTGTAACATTTATTTTCCACTTCTTCGTTTGTTTAAATGTTTTCAATGAATTGAAGTGTGCACAAATAAATTTTCACTGAGAAGTTCTACGGTTTATTTTATTTTTTGGTCATTTCCCAGAAGGATTTTCGGAGGGACTTGTTTAAGGACGCAGTGACTAACAGTTGGTCAGCTATTAATCTCCAGTGACAGCTGTCCGAAAATGGACGGGACCACACGAAAATAGACGGAATTGTCCGAAATTTGACGAAATTTATCGTATACTATATGGATCGTGTATGCCTGTAGATTGCCAATAGTCAGCAAGACTTGGATTACTGTCGAACTGCTATGGAGTGACAGTCAGTCAACAGTAGGTCAACTGTCGGTTAGCTTTCGGCCAAACTGCAAGCATTTTCCGGGACTAGGTCAACCCTTTGGCAATGCCCTGATCGCAACTCGATGCTCAGTAATTCGTCTTTGACGAGTTTGTTAAAAGGGCGTATATTGAAAGTGAAATGCGCTAAAAAAAAAAAGGATGAAAACAAGAATGGATCGAGATGCAATGATGAGATTGTTGCAGTGGCGCATTAAACCAAGAACAGTACTTGACACATTGTGCATCGATTTTGGTGAGTATACTGTCTTTGTGAACGTTTTTATTTCTCCATTGGCTCAGCATCTCATGTATTTTCTGTATTACGAAAATAACGAGAAAAAAAATTTGGATTGTGATGGAAAACGTCTAGTCGTCGGATTAACAATGAAAATCAAAATGCACCAATGAGAGCACGAGAAATAAACCAATAGCACCCAACCATCCCTATCATAATAATTTGGATATATCAACAAAGTTGAAATGGTAAATTAGCCACCCTAATGATTGCAAAAACTGACGTTTCGAGCGTTAGCCCTTCGTCGGAGCGAATAGAGGAATTGTGGGTTGTGTGTGCTTTTAAAGGCCTTTACGGTGGCCAATTTGCCATTTCAACTTTGTTGATTTATCCAAATTATTTCGTTACTCCCACCGACGCAGCCCAAACAGTTTCTTTCGAAAC